ACCGCCCCCTTTCTCACCGCAGCAATCGAACGTTGCAAAACCGAAAGAAATTGCATGTTTGACAGGCGAACGAAACGGAAAGAAAACAACGTCGTCAAAGAACTTTTAAAAACAAAAGTTTTCGAGTCGCATACAGCTTAGTGTGTATGTGTGTGTGTTCTTTTTGTTCTCTTTTGTATGTGTTTTACGGATTTTGAGTGCTTAAAATTTAAGATTTATTTATGTTTCAGTTTAGCTTTTCGTTGTTTGTTGTGTTTCCTTTTATGGCTTAGCACAGCCAGAAAAAAAATTCAAATCAAAAAAAAATTTCAAAAACTTATCAAAATGTATGAAATGAATTTATGATATTCTTAAAAAATTTTAAAAACTATTTCGTCGAAAGCATATACAAAAACTAAATTATTTTTCATATTTTTGTCGCGGTATCACTAAATTAAATTTATAAATAATTATAAGTAAATTTATAAATCGAAAAACGACTGATAATACTAATTATTGTAGTGCATTAAAGAATTAGTCAAAAAATGTTTTCCGTCATATACAACTTTTTTAACATTTTATATAATATTTTATCCCACCAAATAACTGACAATAATCAAGCTAGTCCATGTTTTCTTTCAGTGTTTTCAGTCCGCACCCCAAGGGGCATGCGAAATGTGTTTTAAATTAAAGACACAACTTTTGTGAAATTTTTTCGATTTATGCAGATTCTCTTAAATGCTGACAGCGAACGAGGCGGAGCGAGTGTAATAAATATTTGGCGCCAAGTGGCAATTTAACAGGGCGATCGAACTCTGGCCCAGTTCTTTAAGCTTTAAAGTTTAAAACATGTGCGGTTTTAGTCCGTTTAAATCAGTGCCGCTGGCACTCAATTCGATTACACCGCTAAAAGGTTTCCGTTTGTTATTGTTTTTTTCTTCTGTTCTTCCAGGAATTTAACATTTTCGGCAGATTTAAAAAGGCGCGAACAATATTTTTTTTGGCTTGCCTGCTCACATTAATGAGAAAGAAGATTACGATCAAACAGTTGTCCTTGTCTTCTGATTTAGCTCCGCAGACCAGCTGTCTCATTTCATTTCTTATAAGAAACAAGAACTGCAAATATGGCTTACAAAAGGAAAATAATTGTAATAAAATAACTTTCTAGTTGATAAAAAAAACCAATATCTTTTAAAACTTTTTCAAATACAACTTAAATCCACTGAATTAAAAAAAAGTCCGATATTGTTTAAAGAGGTGTTTTAAAAATAAATTTTTATTTGTATCTTATTAATACATATTTTTTTTATATTTCGAAGTTTTTTTTGAATTTGAGGTCATGTTGGTTATTTTTCTTCTATATACCTTCTTTACTCTTGCACACAAAGCTTTTAAAAATCAGCCAAATAACAAAACAAATACTACTTAATAAAGTTGTTCTAAATAAATCAACCACATTGAAAAATAAAAGTCCCAAATAAATTTTATTTTCGTTTCCTGGCTTAAACAAATCTCACTGACCAATATTTTTATAATCGGTCTTATAAGTAATATTTTGGGCCCTATTTTGCCATTTTTAACTCAACACTTAAAAGTCAGTTTTCTTGAAGCTTGTAATAACGATCCGTTTGCCAACGATTTGAGCCCGGAAATCTTGAAACAGCAGCGAATTCCACATCGCCCACATCGTCGTTCTGAGCTGTTATGCAATGCACCTGAGGTGACCACTACTCCATTCCATTTCATCCGATCTGGCGGCATTTTACAAATGCCGTGCTAAATAGCGCGTTTAGCTTGTTAGCGTTGAGAATTATGTGACAACTCTATATTGGGCCTAGGCCGGGCTTCTCCTGGGCGCCCAGGGAGGTCTCCACCTCTCCTTTTAACTTGGCCAAGAGCGGCGATAAATATTCAAGTGTAAATGGATATGGCTAGGGGAGTTCGGCGGGGGAGTGAGCCAAGCAATGAACTAATAAAGGACAGATGGGCCGAGGGGGGCGGATAGAGGGGGGCCAACGCCGACGCTTTATTAGCCAGACTTTCTTGCTTTTTTTCTTCACATTATGGCCGTAAGAGCGCGCGCCGCAAATGCGTTGCCATAAATTTAAAGCTTTGCCGAGGCGACTCCGGGAATGTCTATAAAGACATTTACCGGCAGCGGCGACGGCGGCTCCGCTAATGAAGATCAACGAGTCGGGGCTGAGATTCAGACTGCAGGTGGGTGGGTGGCTCCTCCTCCTCCTCCCACCGGCGCCTTCTCAACGAACGCATTTCTATGCACATCGCGCGAATATTTCATAAATTTCATTCAATTTTTATTAAACACAAGAAATATGAGCTACTGTAAGGGCACCAACGTTAAGCGAAGAATATTGTCCGGGGAGGAGCTGTCTTGGATAAAAAAGAGGACGCAGCAAATCCTGCACCGGAAATCCTCTCATTACGCCAGACTTGTAATTAATCTTTGGAAAATTAAATGGGAAAAAGCGGCAGGGAAAACGATGGAAACTTTTGAGCCCATCGCGCGGGTTGTGCTTTGTGTACACCTGTTACACTTATCTCCTTTCTGGCGGGGATCTCGATCCGGTTTTGGGGTCCGCCGAAAGGGTTCAGGATGGATGTCTGTGATTTGTTGGGCTCGGTAAATATTTGCAAATGAGTTTGAAATTAAGCCGGTTTACTGATTTTCGGCGAATCTTCTCCGCTTTCAAACAGTCTAATTAATTCTTTCCTTTTTGTGATGGTAGTTTTACAAATTGCTAAATTAAAAGTAACCTTGGAAATAGCAGGCTTACATCGTTTACTTCTCATATTTTGCAACCGATGTGACTTATTTATTTTAATTCGTATTAATTTGAATTTATGAGTTTCAGCTTAATTTAATATAGTTATGATATCTATAAATTAAAGACACTGTTTTCAAACAAAAAAAAATAATATAAAAATCATCTTTAGGTCCCCAAAGACTATTTAATCCAGAATGTCACAATATTATTTTGGAGTATCAGAACTGCAAATTAGGGAACTAAGTGTAAAAGTCATGTAATGATGCTTTTAGAGTATTACCCTTTTTAAATTAATCATAAATCTACAAAATAATATTTTTGATTTTATCGGTACTTCCTAAGAGTATTTAAACTTCGTCTTTCTTAAGAAGAGAGTTCTATCCCATTTGTTATTTATGACCGGACTGGAGGCATTTGCCGGGCTGACATCCTTGGAAATGGACAACAAATCCAATGGACAGACTGACAGAAGCTGGCTGCCGCAGAGATTGAATGGCACATAAATTTTTTTAATTTTCCTTTTCTTTTTCTTTTTTTTTTTTTTTTTGTTTTTTTGGACGGCTGCTTTTGCATGTCAGCTCAAGCCAGGCCAATTCGAGCTGTGTAAGCCGAGTGGTGGAGTCGGGACTACCAGAATACCAGCTGTGTCTTCGGTTTCCTTTCACATCAGTTTGTTTTTCTTTTCGTTGTAATTTTTTTTAGATTTTTTTAAATCTTTTTTTTGACGCCTAAGCCGAGAGCGCGGGCGACACTTGACTGACGCCTTGACTGGCGCCATCCAGCGGCTGCCGGCTGCGCTTGCATAACTTGCGTTTCATTATAATGAGATTATCCCTTTTGCTTGTACAGTGTTTTCTGGCTCGGAAGCTATCTCCTCCTCCTGGGAGTGGCACATTTCCATCTTCGGCTCAGAACTGCAACAGCTGTTTGTGTTTTCTTATTTAAATTATTTCTTTCCCTTTTGATGGCTCTCTTGTTATTCACATTCGCATCCGTATCCGCATCCGTATTCGCTCCTTTCGGGTCCTAGGTCCTGTTTCACTGCAGGCTGTTGGGATTATTTGGCCTGGGACTTGGGTCTTATTTAACTCAAGCAAATAGCTTTTCCCGAGGGGAACTAATTGGAATTGGGAGAGATGAAAGGGAACTTGGAGCTTGGCCCGTCACTTTGAACATTATCCCTTACAACTGCAGTCAAAGCAACTTGATTTAAATGGCAGACACAATGTATTTACTTAATAAATAGATGTCGGCAGGATCGAAAGAAGCTTCAAATGGATCACGGATTTTTTCATTCGATTATTTATTGATAATGGTAGTAGGAGTATTATATCTTGGCTTTTTCTTTTCGTCTCTTGATTATTTCACATTTTAATTGAGTCAGCGATATGGAATTTCGGTGTTCCGCATTTAACTTTCCCTAACCAGCATCATTAGTCAAAACATTTTTAGGCCTCATACCATTTTAATTGAATTTCGATTTAGACACCCAAGGGGACCACCTTCAAAGTGAATTTCCAAAAACCATTTAACATGTTCGAATTATGCAAAAATGTGTTAGGCACGATGTAAAAACATCAAATGACACGAGCTTGTTGTACATACATTTGTCAATTTATTTATTGTATTTCCTTCAATCATTTGGAATATTTAAATTGATTGGGTCACGCCAAGGCCAAGCCCCGGAGCCCAAAACCCCAAGCCCAAAAGCTCATGTTGGAAAACCAATTAGAGCCGAAACAACAATAACGACAAAAATAACATCACAACATCAGCTAACAAGATCAAATCGTGTAATGTGCCTCATTACAACATCGTTTTGTACACATATTTTGTGTGTGGCCCCAAAAAAAAGGTGTGAACCTGTGGGTTACGGTGAGCTTTGAAAGATTCACGCGAAAATGAGTTTAAATGGTTGCATTAGTTATGGGAACAAGTCATTCGATGGATTTGATTATAAACGATATTCATGCAAAAATCTGTATAAATGGTTACATTAGTTAGGGAAAAAAGTCATTGGATAAATTTGATTATAAACGATATTCGAAAAAGCGGAATAAATGGTTTCACTAGTTATAGGAACAAGCCGGATGAATTTGATTATAAATGATATGTATTGAATATTACTCAATCTTTTCTTTTTTGGGATTTAATATGTATCAATATAAACGTTAAGCCTATTAAAATTCTCCATTTAAATTAATGTTTGATATCGATAAATTCAAGGCGGATTTGTTTTCAAGAAAACGTAAAAGCCTAAATTTCTTTATTGTTAGTTGACACTAATTTTTACACAAAAGTTGCCGACCATTAATATTTCCACTGCACGAAAGGGTTTGAACTTTGGGGGATTACTGATCAAGGATTTCCCTTCTCGTGGTTCTGTTGCTGCTGGTGTCTCCTGGACTGCGGATCGTAGTTGAGGACGTCGAAGGTGAGGATCTTGTAGAAGGACACCGACCAGCCCACATCGTCCATGCGAGGTATGATTCTTCCGGTTTGTGGAAGAGCCGCCGTGGCCGGATTCTGGGTGGATCTCATGGGATCCATTGCTGATTGTATGAAGGATTGTTGGGATGGCTTGGCATTGGCGATAGCCGACGTAGATGTGGGTGCATTGAAGGGCGCGTTGAAGGGGAAATTCTTGGATTGCTGGTTAGTTGCATTAAACCCTCTTCTCGTGTCGGCCGTGTAGTCCCTTCTGAAACGAATGAAGATCTCGGCGAATACGATCCGATGAGGGACTGCCACCACTTCCGGCGGGGTCTTGAGCTCGTTGTCCATCCGGCGGATAATCTCGCTGACCTCCACCACCTCCGTGGCCGTGTCGAAGTCCTTGGTGTTCCGCAGGCCAACAAAGAGCATGTCTATGAAGGCGTACTTCCTGCCGAAATTCTGCCGCGTGGCCACCTTCATGGGAATCGCTCGTCGCAGGTGTTCCCGCTCGAACCTAACCAACTGGAGGCGGGTGTCGTTCCGTGAGAGCAGCATGTCCCGGGTGATCTGCTGGAATCCCACCGGAGTCGTGTACTCGCTGATCTTCTCCGCACTCTGCTGGCGGATGATGTCCGTCATCACAATGGCCGCCTGCTTGGCGCCCTCCAAGAAGTCCGGCTCGCTGAAGTCCCGATCCCACAGCCACTTCAGCTTCCACAGATTGAACTTGGTCACCAGGTACTTCCACGGATTGTGCAGGTAGACCAGTTTCGGGATGATCTTCCGGCGCTGGTCGTGCGCCGCACTTTGGCGATCCCAGTCGTGTAATTTACGGCGATCGCCGGGGAAGTCCCCACATCCGGATCCCAATCCACATCCGCATCTGCATCCACATCCGCATCCCGATATCCGATGGGAACGCGGATATTGGGAATGGGGACTATGGGGATGGTGGTTGCCGACCAAGTGGTTCAATGTGCCATATTTACGTAGAATTTTTAATAGCATCGCGACTCTTAGAGTGGGGCACTTTGCATGTTTGTCTCCGATATCGTCGTTTGTGCCCCGGAGAAAAATAGTTGTGTTTCCGTGTGCCTCCCAATTTTAAGCTATACTCTGCGTTGAATTTTGACAGACACAAACTATTGACACTAAGGGACTTCGAAAATTAATTATGTTAAGATCAGTGGGCTTTGACATTTTAAACCAAATACTTATTTTTAGCATTATAAATTTATAAAAATTAGTAAAACAATTATGAACTTCAATTATGTAGATCGATCGTAATTATTACAATTAATTATCTAGCTATGAAAAACGCTTTTAGCCTTAACCATAATAAACATTGTTTTAAACAATTTCGAGCAATATTACCTTCCAACATTTTTATTGTGTCTTAATTTGGAATATTTCAAGAATATTTAGAATTCGAACTTTAAAATATCGATGGCCTTTTATATACTGTTTTGGTATTTAAACATTTCACTGAAATAAATTCGGATAAAACTCAGTTTTAAATCTCTCACCGGACGAACCGACCCACACAAAATTTGGATCCCAGGTAGCGCTCGAGTCCAAATGACATGCCAAGATCGTAAAGCATTATTCCACCGATACATAAATTATACTCCGACGTGCGTGAGTGTGTGAGGGCCATGTGGGCTTTTTCTCTTGGTTTTTCTCCAGCGACAAGTGGCCCTTGGTCAGGGTTTTCGGTGGTGAGGAGAAGATGGGAGGGGGGACTGCCTCTGAGGTCTCACGCAAACGACATTAAAATTAACAATAACAAGAAAGGAAAGCTAACTTCGGGCGGAGCCGAAGTTGATATACCCTTGCAGAATATTCTATAAATTATATTCTCCAAAATTATTCATATGATGCATTCTTAATACTCATAAAAAGTCCCAACTTCCTAACTTTAAAAACACCAAAGTTATGTCATTTCCAATCGTTCAGTTATATGGCAGATATAAGATATAGTCGGCCGATCCTTATAAAATTTGGTAGGTCGGATTGATTGGCCAAAAATAAAACCCATAGAAAATCCCAACTTCCTAACTTTACAAACACCAAAGCTATGGCATTTCCGATCAATCAGTTATATGGCGGCTATAGGATATAGTCGTCCGATCCTTATGAAATTTGGCAGGTCGGATTGATTATCCAAAAATAAAACCCATAGCAAATCCCAACTTCCTAACTTTAAAAACACCAAAGTTATGGCTTTTCCGATCGTTCAGTTATATGGCAGCTATATGATATAGTGGCCCGATCCGGCTCGTTCCGACTTATATACTACCTGCAATAGAAAGACAACTTTTGGGAAAGTTTCAAGCAGATAGCTTTAAAACTGAGGGACTAGTTTGCGTAGAAACGGACGGACAGACGGACAGACGGACAGACGGACAGACGGACAGACGGACAGACGGACGGACAGACGGACGGACAGACGGACAGACGGACATGGCTAGATCGACTCTCCTGGTGATGCTGATCAAGAATATATATACTTTATAGGGTCGCAAATGTCTCCTTCACTGCGTTGCAAACTTTTGACTGAAATTATAATACCCTCTGCAAGGGTATAAAAATGGGAAAGAAATGAAAAGCGCGCAATGCAATTGTTGCGCTCGGTTGGAAGATGCGTATTTAAATGGCAGAGCAAATTTAATTATGTGTAAACTTATTTAATGGAAAATTAAACAGAAGTTAAATCACATGAGGTTACCAAATAGCTGAGAAAAAATGTTGGTAGTAGATAGTATGGGATACGGAAGGTAAAAAAGTAATTAAGGTATAGTAAGTTGAGTAGGAAAGGCGTAAAACTTAACTATGTTTATAAGCTAGAGCAAGTGATATTCCTAACATAATTCACTTAGTATGCCATTGAGAATTGCTCTTTAAGGCCTAAATCGCTTTCCCAATCAGTTAACATTAGTTTAATTTAAACTAATCATTAAATCGTACATTTTATACGAACATTTTATTGCTGGCCAATGGCTTCAATGGTATGCCTTTCGCATAGAAAAATGTTTCCGTGCAGACTTCAATGCATACAAAGTAAGCCCCCTATACCCACCTCCGCACCCCACCTGAGTCCCCGAACTCCCCAACATTGTTCTCTAACGTTTTCAGTTTATCAATTCGATATCCCAAGTGGCGATGGAGGAGGGGGCATAGATACTCCTCCTAAGTTGACACAAAATGCGTGGTCGTCATCGTCATCGGGCATCGTCATCGTCAATCGTTTGCATGACATCGCAAGAAATGCGCGGGGAAAAGTTCCCAAGGTGGAAAGAGATGGCGAGAGGCGGACAGAAAGAGAGCGAACGAGAGGGAGTGAGCGAGATAAGTATCTTTTGTGGACCGCCGCATTACAACTGCAGCAGCAACAAAAGATAAAAAGATACTGCGGGGAAATTCAAATTCAAATGAAAATAAGTAATTCATTTCGCTGCGGTTTTCAGGTCTGCGGAAAGAGCGAGACGGCATCGTTTATCTTGTTGCTCATTAAATCATTCAGCTGTCAATCAATTTCGCTGCGGTTGTCTTGCGACTGAAAACGAATTCCTGCCTTTGTTTTTTCCCTGCGTTGCATTTCTGAGGTGGTCAGCCAACCGCAGCCTCGTGGATAATTATACTGCCATCTGTAATGAGTTCTCAAACGGTACGTTCTTTGTTGCCCCATTAGAAGTTGTACAATTCAATCCATGATTGATTGGCTGGATTACTTACTGTCACAGAGCTGCACTCGTTTTCCGAATTCCAAGCAGACTCCTGAATATGCATTCGAGTATCTTCCAGATACATTCCACACAAGTCGCTCTCGACGATCGACAGCGTTTTAAGTTTCGCTCCAAATGGAAGTTGTTGAGCTCGCACAAAGACCCCCATATATCGTTAGCATAAGCGCAAGTATCTTTCGTGGATTTCCATATCTTTCGGTTCGGTTCGCCCGTCGTCGTACCTGTCAGTCGATTCAGGTTAAATCAATCATACACAAAGACTTCGGAACGGAGACCTGTCAACACGGTTCATTGTTTGCCTCAGAGCGGCATTTAATGAAAAAGACCGAACCCCCCCTCTCATTCCGCATTATGGCGCACTATGTGCTATCCTACCGGTCCCCATTTCATCCGCAGGCCAGAGCATACATAGATTGTAAATTTATGCGCGTATCTCACAGATAGTTCGTGCAGTTATTTGCATTTTTCTCTGTGGCCATGCGGCTCTAACTATTGTCGTCTGGGCGTATATTTCACATACGGGTGGTCATTTAGCATATTTTGATATTGAGATTTATTGACAAGATTGGAACGTGGCTGCAGCTTTGTCGGCACTCGGCACTCGGCACCAAAGCGGAAATGTTTCCGCCCCCACTGACTCAATTATGTCAAAATGCGGTCCCTACTCTAAATTAATTGAGTTTGTACCCCGAAATTTGTATCGAATTTCACACTGGGCGCCCGTTTAGGCAACTTGACCGCAGAAGAAACACAACAAACTCCAGCAGAAATCAAAACTCAGAGCGTGCCATTGGAACAATGCCAAGTCCAAAAAGATTGAATTAAGTGGGGAATTGAGTGGAAAACACTGAACAAATTTAAGAGTTTTTAAGACCAGATTAAAAAGGGTTTTTCTAATGCCATGAAAATGCCTTTTGCAATGGGAAAAATTTTTAACTAAGATAAGTTAAGTTGTATGAAGCACTACATTTAAATCATAATTCTTTAAAAATGATTAAATTTAATAAAAATTGTTTGTATATACATACATAATAGGCACACACAACTAGCTTACATGTAAATTCAGTTTGTGAGAAATATAATAATAGAATAGACATCATATGTCGATATATCTTAAAAGTAATCATTTTACAATAAATAAATAATTATCACAAACGCAAATGTTTGGTGAGAACTTCCCTACAATAAACTCTCATTTAAAAGAGATTAAAAAAAATATAAAACACTTTACAACTACAGCTTTTTTTAATCTAAGGATAAAGGATCTCAATCCCGAAATAATACTTTTTGTTCTAGTTTTATGGCCTATTTTTTCTTTGTGCAGGAATAGAAATGTATATGCTTTGAAACCTTGCAAAGTGCGCGGAATGTGGTCGCGTCATTGAAATGCGATACGAGACCTCCAACTAAAGAGATCGTGAGGAATTGCCCATGATTTCCATGTACACTTCTAGGGTTTCCAAGCTGTCACTCTGCGGTGGGTTCTTCTCAACTCGATTCGCACATTTCGAGGTAGTTGGTGCAATTTGTCTGGCAAATCGATCGCCACTGCGGCGAATGCGGAAACAGAGAAACCAATCCGCTTGTCGATCAGGTTGAGGTCAGGTCTTTTCCTTTTCCCATTCTCGACCAATCGGTAATCAAATACTTTCACGTATTTGAGATCCTTTGTGCAGTGAGTCATTTAAAATCCTCCTGCCCTTCTAATGTGTCGGTGTGACACCTAGCGACCAATCACGTGATCTGCCTGCCTTATGGCCACTTAAATCGGAGTTTATAGGGGGGACAACCTGTCAATGGCTGACACTTCACTTGTCGCCTGGCCTGATATGTGGGTCCGATGTGATGGAGCTGTCGCCGTCTTCCAAGAACTGTCTGCGGACTTTGCACCCCGCCAAAGATCCCCAACCATCGCTGTCCTCGGCGATCCGTTTGAAAACTGGGCGATTCGATTAATTTATGGCCCTAGATTGGTTCGCTTTTCCGATTCAGTTTGCGTGCCAGTCATCGAGTGCCACCCAAAACAAATACGGGAAATCCCAAACAAAAAGGGGAAATAACGAAAGTAAAATGCCCTCTTTATGATAATAAATTAATGTTGGCCAATTGACTTAAAAATAAATAAACATTTCTTAATGATTTGTAGAGTTTTTTTACAAATAAAAATACATTTGATTTTAAGTCCATAAAAGAAAGGCAAGAATGTACTTAATTGGACATGAACTACAGAAAAATGCATTTACAGAAAATGTACATTAATTTATTAAGAGTTAATATTAGACTTTTTTATTTAATATACATATCCTACTTGAAATGAACTTTAGAGTTAATAAACCTTTTCCTAAAGTGTATTTCTTACCTGATTTGTGGGCGGTCTTTAGCTAC